TCGTTAGATCTTTTTTTGTTTTATTAGAACATGTTTAATGATAAATGAATTAATATTTTGACTGTAAATTATCATCTGTCGTTTTTATTTAAATAAATATGCTTGTTTAACCAATCCAAATACGATCCGAAGGAAACATTGTCATCATCTCATTAGACTAGAAAATAAGAAATGATCGATGATCAAAATTTATTGTATATATCTATTATATACATAAACACAATCTTGCTAAATGATAATCATCATCTTCGATTCATTTCGGATACATTCGGTTTATAAAAATGAGATGCTCCTACTGTGTATGTGATCGATGATGATGACAACTACGTGCTTCTGGAGAATTTTTTATATCGTTGAAGATAAAGCATGAATAGTAACGACAAAAAAAAAAAGGAAAGAAAATGATGAAAATTTTAATAAGTTGATGTTTCAATATGAAAAATTTTCTATTGTTTTTTTTTGCAGCTGATTATTCATTTAATGATAGTAGTTCAAGCCAGAGTTACGGAGAAGTTAATCAACTTGGTGGTGTATTTGTCAATGGACGACCATTACCAACACCAATTCGTTTACGTATTGTTGAAATGGCTAATTTAGGAGTACGTCCATGTGACATAAGTCGTCGATTAAAAGTATCACATGGATGTGTTAGTAAAATTCTTGCTCGTTATCATGAAACAGGTATATTTTAATTTTAATTTAAAAAAGAAAAAAAAATATTTCTTTTCTCTTGTTTTTTATTTTGTTGGAGGTTCTGTATTACCAGGTGCTATTGGCGGAAGTAAACCACGTGTAACAACACCACGTGTTGTTGGTCGTATACGTGATTACAAAGTTAAAGATCCCGGAATGTTTGCATGGGAAATACGAGAAAAATTATTATTAGATAATGTATGCGATAAATTTAATGTTCCTTCAGTATCATCAATTTCACGTATTTTACGAAATAAAATTGGTCCATTATCACAACCAAATAATGGAAATGGAAGTGGAGGAGGTGGAAGTAGTGAACATAGTGATTCAAATTCACCTCCACTAATTTCATCATCAACAACATTAATAAATAAATGTGATCATTCACCAGTTAATATTCCTTCAGTTGTTTCATCATCATCAGAATCAATATGTAAAATTGAACCACCAACATGGTCATCATATGATCAATCGACAGCATCATCATATCATCATCGTTATCTTTATCCAAATGTTGCTTATCATTCACCATTTCAACATCAATTTGAATCGGCTATGAAATCACCATATACAGGAGCAAATCATATTGTATCAAATTCAACAACAAATGGAGATATATCAAGTGCATTTACACATACTCATCATTACCATCATCAACATCATCATCATCATCCAAATACAACTATTAACAATCCTACAAATAATTATGCATCATTTTTTAATACATTTCCTTATACACAAACAACTAATTTTGCTGTTACGACACCATATTACCCATCGTCTTATGGTTTACCATTGACACCACAAGCTTCATAGAAAAATAATAAAAGACAGTTTTCTTTTCTTTTTTTTTTGACAAAATTTGTGTTCGTGTGTTTTTTCCTTTAGAATATGAAAATATATAATAAGTCAAATAATGAAAATATTTATTATTTTATCTTGCGTTCTAGCTAGCAGACATTGATATAGATGTCTATTGTTTTGACATAAAACTTCTTTTTGAATTTAAACACGTGCATATATATACACACCGTTTCATAATCATTGTCCAAGAAGTGTCACAAAGCAAAAAAAAATATATGTATATATACTGTTTTACAGTCATAATAATCTTTATCAAAATAATTGATTTCGTTTCTCTACTCATTAAGAGAACAATTGTTAATACATTTTGAATTTCTTCTGATAAGGTTTTTTCAATCTGATTGACAGTAGTCTATCATGATTTTTTGTTATTAATATGATCAGTAGTAAACAGGTGAATGTGTATACATATATATCTTTTGATTGATAAGTGTGAAAAATTCCATTCATTAATCTCATATATATATATATAATATATATAGTGATCTATTAGTTTTGGCATCCATATGAATTTTTTCGATTAGAAGAATGATTGTTATTTATAATGGCAAAACGTGTTTTTTTAAAAGGGCAAACATTTATGAGAAGAATGAAAACAATAGTGATATTACGTGATTATCCCTATCGAAGAAACAAAGGTCATCGATCTAATTTACAATTGCATTTGACCATAAATAAAAATTCGATAAAAAGAAAAGAAAAACTTAGAAATAATATTAATTTCTTTATCTGTTTAAATCATTTTGAATATTTCTATTTCATTTAATATTTACATATGAATTAGATTGTTTCGAAAAATTTAGTTTCATTTTTTCTTTATTATACATATATAAGTAAAAAGAGTCAAGAGAGAAGAAAAAGAAAAACAAAAATCAATACACACGACAGAAAAATGCTGACTTATACTCTGTATTTATGTTCGTTTTTTATAGATCAGAAAAAAATTATCGTCGAACTGAAAATATAAAAGAAAAGTTAATAATAATCGTGATTAACTTTAACTATATTTACGTTCTACTACAGCTGTATCTGGTACACGTCGTACAATCGTTGCTGTACGTTTTTGAGGTGAAGTATCATCGGAATATTTCTCACGCATAGTTCGATATCTCGTTGTATAAGATGGATGACGTACAAGTTCTGGTCTGTATTTAAATTCAAAAAAATGAAAATGTTCTAAAAAGAAAATAATTATTTTTTTTTTTTTTATACAAACATTTCTCCATTTGACTCTTGAGAATAATTTTTATTCAATCGACGATTATATGACGAATTTAGCTTAAAAGAAAATCAGATAATGAAATAATTAATTTAATAAATA